CTCAATCCCCTACAGGGAAGGGACACAACAGGGCTCTGAGGAAGAAAGCAGGTGACCATGAGCAGCCACGAAACACCGTACTTGCAGTAGGAAAAGTCCAGACTCAGATGTTAGAAATGCAACTCCTGCATTTCTACTATATCTACCATACAAATATACCTACTTGTATATAAGTAGGTAGATATATTGATATAGATGATGTATAGAGATATAAGTAGATATATTGATAGATGTTTGCTCATCCTAAGCTTCCAGGGACTGGTCTGAACTTTACCGTCTGGATGAACTTGTTGCAGATGACTTTCTTGTCACCCCTGCCAAACAAAAGCAGGGGAGCATATTTAAAACCACTTTCATAAACAAATTGCCAAACATGATGCTGAGGGAAGAGAAGAAAGAGCAGAATTCTTCCTGGCCCACTAGTGTTTCTGACTACTCTGTAGGAGCCCTGAAAGGAGGCATATGAGGGAGCCTAAGGAGTTTCAGAACAGTAACAAAGATGCAACATCCCTCTGGACTTCCAGGATCTCACAGGGCCTCCTGTTGGCCTTGGACTGATTCCTCCAGGGATGGGATTGCAGAACACATGGGACAGGCGAAGGTAGAAAAGCAACAACAGACTCCAGAAAGTGCCCTCAATACCCAAGCGTGGCTTCTCATCCTCTTCATTTCCCCTCCGCAGAGAGGCATTTCTCTTGCCTTTCCCTTCTTTCCTGGGCCATCCCATCTCCCAGTCTCTATCCTCACCAATCTTCTCCAATCTTGTAGACACAGATGATGTCAGTCTGTCCTATGGCAATTTTAGTGGAATCAGGAGAAAAAGCCATGCCCTTCACCATATAGCTAAAAGTTAAAAAAAGACAGAAAAAGCAGTAATGAGTATACATTAAAGAAAAGAGAAAAAAGAAAAAAAGGTACATGTGTGCTCCTAAGGGGGCTTGAGGATTTCTACTGAGAACAAGCTGGGGTACCCCATTTCCTATGCCTATGGCTAGGAGGCAGACTAGGTCTTCCAGGTTTGTATGACCTTATCAGTAGGTTAAGGGACACATGAATACACTCTTTACCTTCATGTCAGCTGGTTCGGTGGAGAGTTTCTCTCTCCATTCTCCATGTTCATCATACAGCAATACCACTCGATCCACTGTGCAGACAGCAAATTTGGCATTGTTCTGGGACCAAGCCATGCAGGTCACCTTTGCAACTCCATCCTGCAGAGGCAAAGGGGTAAAAGCAAACCCATGTGCTGGTCTAGAATGTCAAAAGCATTTTGAGCTCCATTAATTTTCGTGTAATTCTGGTCAATTTTCTTCCTGTCATGGTCCTATCCTCAACATAAAGAGGTGCCTGTGGCGCATCCTGGTCTCCGAGGCCTTCAGATCCTAGACTGTGAGAACCGTGTGCTTCTAGAGACTCATATGCAAATGTACTAAGAGGCAGTGTGCTAAGTCAACTGTATCAATGAATCACTGCAACAGCCTCCTCATTCTCTTAGATGCCAGGTCTGCTACTGAAATAAATTCAATTCGTCTGATAAGTTTTGATATGTAGCCATTCATTCAATTAATATTTTTTTTGCTATATTTTTATTAATTAATTATTTATTTATTTATTTTTCCCCCATTTATTTATTTTATTGCATTTTAGATTTTGGGGTACATGTGAAGAACATGCAAAATTTTTGCATAGGTACACACGTGGCAGTGTGATTTGCTGCCTTCCTCCCCATCACCTACATCTGGCATTTCTCCCCTTGCTATCTCTCCCCAGCTCCCCACCTCCCACCGTCCCTCCCCTATTTCCCCCCCAACTGACCCCAGTGTGTATTGCTCCCCTCCCTGTGTCCATGTGTTCTCATTGTTCAACACCCGCCTATGAGTGAGAACATGCGGTGTTTGATCTTCTGCTCTTCTGTCAGTTTGCTGAGAATGATGGTTTCTAGGTTCATCCATGTCCCTACAAAGGACCCAAACTCATCGTTTTTGATGGCTGCATAATATTCCATGGTGTATATGTGCCACATTTTCCCTATCCAGTCTATCGTCGATGGGCATTTGGGTTGGTTCCAGGTCTTTGCTATTGTAAACAGTGCTGCAATGAACATTCATGTGCACGTGTCCTTATAGTAGAACGATTTGTAATCCTTTGGATATATACCCAGTAATGGGATTGCTGGGTCAAATGGAATTTCTATTTCTAGGTCCTTGAGGAATCGCCACACTGTCTTCCACAATGGTTGAACTAATTTACACTCCCACCAACAGTGCAAAAGTGTTCCTATTTCTCCACATCCTCTCCAGCATCTGTTGTCTCCAGATTTTTTGATGATCGCCATTCTAACTGGCGTGAGATGGTATCTCAATGTTGTTTTGATTTGCATTTCTCTGATGACCAGTGATGATGAGTATTTTTTCATATATTTGTTGGCCTCATGTATGTCTTCTTTTGTAAAGTGTCTGTTCATATCCTTTGCCTACTTTTGAATGGGCTTGTTAGTTTTTTTCTTGTAAATCTGTTTTAGTTCTTTGTAAATTCTGGATATCAGCCCTTTGTCAGATGAGTAAACTGCAAAAATTTTTTCCCAATCTGTTGGTTGCCGATTCACTCTAATGACTGTTTCTTTTGCTGTGCAGAAGCTGTGGAGTTTGATTAGGTCCCATTTGTCTATTTTGGCTTTTGTTGTCAATGCTTTTGGTGTTTTGGTCATGAAGTCCTTGCCTACACCTATGTCCTGAATGGTTTTGCCTAGATTTTCTTCTAGGGTTTTTATGGTGTTAGGTCTTATGTTTAAGTCTTTAATCCATCTGGAGTTAATTTTAGTGTAAGGTGTCAGGAAGGGGTCCAGTTTCTGCTTTCTGCACATGGCTAGCCAGCTTTCCCAACACCATTTATTGAACAGGGAATCCTTTCCCCATTGCTTGTTTTTGTCTGGTTTGTCAAAGATCAGATGGTTGTAGATATGTTGTGTTGCCTCCGAGACCTCTGTTCTGTTCCATGGGTCTATATCTCTGTTTTGGTACCAGTACCATGCTGTTTTGATTACTGTAGCCTTGTAGTATAGTTTGAAGTCTGGTAGTGTGATGCCTCCTGCTTTGTTCTTTTTGCTTAGAATTGGCTTGGCTATGCAGGCTCTCTTTTGGTTCCATATGAAGCTTAAGGTGGTTTTTTCCAGTTCTGCGAAGAAGGTCATTGGTAGCTTGATGGGGATAGCATTGAATCTGTAAATTACTTTGGGCAGTATGGCCATTTTCACAATATATTCTTCCTAACCATGAACATGGAATGTTTCTCCATCTGTTTGTGTCCTCTCTTATTTCATTGAGCAGTGGCTTGTAGTTCTCCTTGAAGAGGTCCTTTACATTCCTTGTTAGTTGTATTCCTAGGTATTTTATTCTCTTTGTGGCAATTGTGAATGGAAGTTTGTTCTTGATTTGGCTCTCTTTAAGTCTGTTATTGGTGTATAGGAATGCATATGATTTTTGCACATTGATTTTGTATCCTGAGACTTTGCTGAACTTGCTTATCAGTTTCAGGAGATTTGGGGCTGAGACGATGGGGTCTCCTAGATATACAATCATGTCGTCTGCAAACAGAGACAATTTGACTTCCTCCTTTCCTATTTGAATGCCCTTTATTTCTTTTTCTTGCCTGATTGCTCTGGCTAGAACTTCTAATACTATATTCAATAGCAGTGGTGAGAGAGGGCATCCTTGTCTGGTGCCACATTTCAAGGGGAATGCTTCCAGTTTTTGCCCATTCAGTATGATATTGGCTGTTGGTTTGTCATAAATAGCTTTTATTATTTTGAGGTACATTCCATCAATACCTAGCTTATTGAGGGTTTTTAGCATAAAGGGCTGTTGAATTTTGTCAAAGGCCTTCTCTGCATCAATTGAGATAATCATGTGGTTTTTGTCTTTGGTTCTGTTTATGTGGTGAATTACGTTTATAGACTTGCGTATGTTGAACCAGCCTTGCATCCCCGGGATGAAGCCTACTTGATCATGGTGGATAAGCTTTTTGATGTGCTGTTGCAATTGGCTTGTCAGTATTTTATTGAAGATTTTTGCATCTATGTTCATCATGGGTATTGGCCTGAAGTTTTCTTTTCTTGTTGAGTCTCTGCCGGGTTTTGGAATCAGGATGATGTTGGTCTCATAAAATGATTTGGGAAGAATTCCCTCTTTTTGTATTGTTTAGAATAGTTTCAGAAGGAATGGTACCAGCTCCTTTTTGTATGTCTGGTAGAATTCGGCTGTGAACCCGTCTGGACCTGGGCTTTTTTGGGGTGGTAAGCTCTTAATTGCCTCAACTTCAGACCTTGTTATGGGTCTGTTCAGGGTTTCGGCTTCTTCCTGGTTTAGGCTTGGGAGGAGGCAAGTGTCCAGGAATGTATCCATTTCTTCCAGGTTTATTAGTTTGTGTGCATAGAGTTGTTTGTAATAATCTCTGATGATGGTTTGAATTTCTGTGGAATCTGTGGTGATATCCCCTTTATCGTTTTTTATTGCATCAATTTGGTTATTCTCTCTTTTCTTTTTTATTAATCTGGCTAGTGGTCTGTCTATTTTGTTGATCTTTTCAAAAAACCAGCTCCTGGATTTATTGATTTTTTGAAGGGTTTTTTGTGTCTCTATCTCCTTCAGTTCTGCTCTGATCTTAGCTATTTCTTGTCTTCTGCTAGACTTTGAGTTTTTTTGATCTTGCTCCTCTAGCTCTTTCAGTTTTGATGATAGGGTGTCAATTTTTGATCTCTCCTTGCTTCTCATGTGGCCACTTATTGCTATATATTTTCCTCTAGAGACTGCTTTAAATGTGTCCCAGAGATTCTGGTATGTTGTGTCTTCATTCTCGTTGGTTTTTGAAGAACATCTTTATTTCTGTCTTCATTTCATTGTTTATCCAGTCAACATTCAAGAGCAAGTTGTTCAGTTTCCATGAAGCTGTGCGGTTCTGGGTTAGTTTTTGAATTCTGAGTTCTAACTTGATTGCACTGTGGTCTGAGAGACTGTTTGTTATGATTTCCGTTCTTTTGCATTTGCTGAGGAGTGATTTACTCCCAATTATGTGGTCAATTTTAGAGTAGGTGTGATGTGGTGCTGAGAAGAATGTATATTCTGTGGATTTGGGGTGGAGAGTTCTGTAAATGTCTATTAGGTTTGCTTGGTCCAGGTCCGAGTTCAAGTCCTGGATATCCTTGTTAATTTTCTGTCTGGTTGATCTGTCTAATATTGACAATGGGGTGTTAAAGTCTCCCACTATTATTGTGTGGGAGTCTAAGTCTCTTTGTAAGTCATTAAGAACTTGCCTTATGTATCTGGGTGCTCCCGTATTGGGTGCATATATATTTAGGATCGTTAGCTCTTCTTGTTGCATTGATCCTTTTACCATTATGTAATGTCCCTCTTTGTCTCTTATGATCTTTGTTGCTTTAAAGTCCAATTTATCAGAGATGAGAATTGCAGCTCCTGCTTTTTTTTTGCTCTCCATTTGCTTGGTAAATCTTCCTCCATCCCTTTATTTTGAGCCTTTGTGTATCCTTGCATGTGAGATGGGTTTCCTGGATACAGCACACCAATGGGTTTTGGCTTTTTATCCAATTTGCCAGTCTGTGTCTTTTGATTGGGGCATTTAGTCCATTTATATTTAGGGTTAATATTGTTATGTGCAAATTTGATACTGCCATTTTGGTGCCAGCTGGGTGTTTTGCCCTTTAGTTGAGCTGGTACTTGTTGTTCCTTTATATGTGTAGAGCCTCTTTCAGGAGCTCTTGTAGAGGTGGTCTGGTGGTGACGAAATCTCTGAGTACTTGCATGTTCCCAAAGGATTTTATTTTTCCTTCACTTATGAAGCTTAGTTTGGCTGGATAGGAGATTCTGGGTTGAAAGTTCTTTTCTTTAAGGGTGTTGAATATTGGCTCCCACTCTCTTCTGGCTTGTAGGGTTTCTGCTGAGAGATCTGCTGTGAGTCTGATGGGCTTCCCTTTGTGGGTAACCCAACCTTTCTCTCTGGCTGCCCTTAGTATTTTCTCCTTCATTTCAACCCTGGTGAATCTGACGATTATGTGCCTTGGGGTTGCTTTTCTTGACGAATATCTTTGCGGTGTTCTCTGTATTGCCTGGACTTGAATGTTTGCCTGCCTTGCTAGGTTGGGGAAGTTTTCCTGGATAATATCCTGAAGAGTATTTTCCAGCTTGGATTCATTCTCTTC